AAAGACGATGGATTTCAGTCTTGAGTGTCTAGCAATCAGGTGATGATGAGGACAGCTCTAACTGCTTAAAATGTGGTTACGAGTGGAGAAGTAGTCAGAAAAATTTACTTGTGTTCCTTCTTACTCTCCAGAATTAGGTTTTCAGTCCAGTTAGGAGACTCATTTTCCCCACTTTGACAGAACCAACAGCTCTGTCACATCTGTCCCAAGATACTCAGTTAGTATCCTCTTCCCATGTTTTCACACACAGTCAGAAAAGAAACCCTCGTCTCCAGGACACAACTTCAGGTTGAAGTCAGAGTGGATGGAGATGGTGTAGAAATGGGTTCATGTTGTCTAATTTCAGGCACTGAGCTCAATTAAGTCTCCTCTTCAACTGCCTTCATGCTGGAAGATAGAAGTGTGTGAATGTCTTCCTCAGTCCTTCATTCTCCTGCCCCTGTAGTGTGTCATTCATCGGGTGAACGCAGTTTGTAAATCCAGCTCCAATAAAGCTTAATTACTTACATCAACTTTTATAGTTGTTTTTGGAGACACTGTGAGAAGACCATCATACTGCAGCTGATATTGGGCACCTTAATTATCTGACTTGTAAGTAACCTGAACTGGAAGGAGTGTATATCTCCTCCTTTCTCTCAGTCTTATAATTTTTCTCTATATCTTTGCATTTTGATGAGGTGTGGAAAAGAAATTTCCTTTGAAATCACTGAACATTTCACTGGCAGTAAGAGCCATTTCTCATCCATCTCCAGTCAACATTTTGCATCCTTAATTTCTGATGAGGGAACAATCTTGTAATAAGCAATCAGAAATGGCATCGTTAAAGTTAGAGATATAAAAGGACTGAGACAGTACCAGCACACATCATACTGCTGCAGGAGATTCCCTATCTCTCTGAAGATGAACCATGAGGGCTGGTTGATGTTATATTAGGTGGGGTTCATGTTAGATTTCCTCTTCTGGGTGGAATAAAGACTATAGGGGAAGTAGAAGAGAGGTCATTTCAGTCCCTTGCTTGGTGATTTTATGGGACATGAGTTGTAAAACTTGTGATATTGCTGTGTACAAGGAAAAGAAATTGTGTGCTTTAATGCTCCTCTTCTGTACTGTCTAATATACAAATGAGGAATGAGGCAGGCACGGTTCTTGGAAGGGTCATCTTTGGAGGGGTCTCAGACATGCAACTTCTGATGCAAAGATTTTACTGCTGGTAATGTACAGATAATGGAAGAAGTTGTCACCATCCAGATAAAAACTTTTTTAATTTTTTTTTCCTTTTCTCTATCAGCAGCTGCATATAGCATCTTCCCATTGGTAGAATAAATCTGATTTAAAAATGTAGTTGTAAGCAGCAACGATTTTATCCTACTGGAAAAGATTTTATCCAGCAGAAGAAATGTTGTGCCTGGGCATAATTTTTCAGATATGACGAATAACATCATAGTATGACCCTCAGTCCTAAGAGTTTTAATTTAAAAAAAACTACTGAGCATATCAGATTTACTCAACTTTTTTTTCACAGGCAGAGTTTGGTTTATAGATACATCTTGACAAAATTCTGCTACAGGCACATTTCAACAAAAGAACAACTTCAAACACATCCAATTAACAATTTATGAAAGGAAATCCAACAGAAAATTACACAGAGATTCACAGGGCATAAAATTTGGCTCTAAATCAAATTTAATACAGAAATGTCTGTATAGGGACTTATGTCCCTTTCCAGTGCACTGTCAAAAGGAGCTTTATCTGTGGAGGCTCAATGAGTACCCTCCATCATAACTTTTCTTGCTATAAATAAAATATTTTGTCAGACATGGCAATGGCCGCAACTCAAAAGGGAAGAAAGACCAATGATAAACCAAGCTCTATTCAGTTTTCATTCAGAAGTATTAAAAGTCATTAGATTTCTTCACACTTTCAAATCTAGAATTTGTTCACTTTATCACAGAAATGAGGGGCTCTGTACTATCAAGGAACACAAAATCACTTTTAATATGTTCGTGCAGCCAGCCACCATACATACTCCGGTAACAGGTCATGGTGACTATATTTAATGTTACTATGGAGCCGTCTTTATGTCTGAAAGGAAATTTCAGCCCCCCTGCATCCCATTGTTTCCTGATTTACTCACTCATTCAGCAGCCCTGGTTGGACTTTCTCGACAGATGTTAAGGATACAAACTCATGTAATTGCCTTCAGTAGCTCTGAAATTAACTTAAGCCACTACTTTGTTTAGAGAAAAACATCGGTGTCTAGACCGTTATCTATTTAAACACATGAATAGCCAGCTTTTGTAAGGGATGACTGAGCAGCATCACTTACATTACACTATCTGGATTATTTGAGTGTGGGGGGGTGTTATTTAAAGATACCAGGACCAACAAGCAGGCATGACTAAAGTTGACACAGGCCAGGATCAAGCATATTTGTGATGCAACTGTGGTATTACATGGACTAATATAATTTGAAGAGTTGGTTGGTGTATTGCTGGTTCTATTGACACAGGCCAGGATCAAGCATATTTGTGGTATTACATGGACTAATAAAATTTGAAGAGTTGGTTGGTGTATTGCTGGTTCTCCTCATAATTCTGTGCTCCCACATCAGAACAGGGAACATCTGAAAACTTGTAAATTTGTTATCTTCCACTGAAATGCATATCTGCGTAGGAAAGCATGGATTTAAGTGTCCATTCATGTTCATTTAGGTCCATGGCACAATGTCCTTGCTGTGACTGTAGCACAAGAATTTCATGAGATCACTTTTCCTGCATCTTTAGAGGGCAGACACTTGGGCTCTTCAAGCCTATGTGGCATTGTGCAGTGTAACTGCATCTGCGTGTCCTAGTTAGTCCACTGGTGAAGATGAGAAGACACCTCTGTCACTATAAATGAAACATTAGAATACCCCAAGGGTTTTTTTCTTGAGTCCATTAATACATGCTTTTGGCACTGAAACAGTCTACCAGATAAGTTAGTGTCCAAGGCACGTAATAATTAGTGAGTAAAACACCCCCAGAGTATCTTAATCCTATTAAAATGTGTCTTCTAAAGTGTAAATGAATTTTTAACCTAATTTTAAATGATTATTTTCTTCCTGTAACACACCCTTTCTCTGTACATAGCAGATCCCAGGGAAGCAGAAGGTGAAACAAAGTAAGACATTAATGTCAAAGATTTTAATCTTCTCTTTATATTTTTGAAAGATACTTGACTGTTTGCTGCGGATTTTTCCGTATACCTCTACTTCTTCCCTCACACCACTTCCTTCATCACATTGTATCATCTTACTTGTCTGCAACTAGATAATGGTGAAAATAATAATTAATTAAATTTGTGAGGGAAAGTCTAGGTTTAAGTAACTGCGAAATTATTTAGTTTCTAAATGCAGAAATTATACACTCTTTAAAGAATTAAAGTGTTAAATAAGTGTTTCTAGATACCTGATATTCTTCAAAATCTAGCCAGTTAGAGTGTCTAAATGTGATTGTAAGGATTGAATATTACCCATTTTCTCTATCCCTCCTTCACAGTTCCTCCAAGGCAGATCTCTAAGTCAAGAAAGCAAGAAGTAAAACACATTATAAGAGACTTTTTTTTTTTTTTTTCTCATTCCCCTGCCTCACTCATGCATACTTGGTTAGGCTTCTCCTTCTTGCCGTGGTGATTTGGCATTGCTCTCATTGCAACTTCCACTCAAGTCCTCCCGGTCCGTACAGTTCTCCAGCCCTTCTGTGCCCTTCCAGCAAGCTGCCTGATGGCCTTCCTTCCTATTCACTCTGTAGGACTTCAGGGCATTTAATATATCTGAAAACTTAGCCACAGCAAGACAGCAAAGACCTTTATTTCTCAGGCACAACTTGTTGAAAAACCCAGGGGTTTGTGCTTCAGATAAGCCCAGATTCAGAGAACTGAACATCCCTCTGAATTCTCGTGCTTGTTTTCTCCTGTAGCTTTCAGAGACTTCAGGGATATCCAGGTCAAGAATGTGCTGTAGTGACTGCCATTTCTTCTGTCAACTTCAGAGCATCACAAGCACTGGGATTCCTTTTTTATTGTAACTTTTGATTAGGAGTCAAAGATCATCTCAAGGCCAGTTTAAAGGACCGTGTGCATTGTTTGAAGTGAAATACTCCTGCAGTTATAGGATTGGAGTCTTCAGCAGTGCCTATTAGATTAGAACTTGAGCTCAGCCTCTTGATTCTCCAAACCAACCTTGTGTTGCTTCATTCTCTGAGTCCAGTCTAGACTGAACCTAACATCTCTGTAGGCACAGAAACTAAAGGCTAGAAGGAGGAGAAGACCTTGTTAAATCTCTGCCCCTGCCTGCAGTGTAGATGCAGCTGGATCATGAACAGACTCTTTCAACTGGGGTCTGAACATAAGCACAGCTCCCAAAGGCAGTATGAACATCTAACTACCTAGAAACTGGTATCTGATGTGTCAGCAAAATCACTTCAACTCTATAGAGTGAACACCATGAAACTGTGGGTGGCTCAAGCTGATGACTATGCAGTCACATTACTATAATGATTTTCCCCTTTTTTTAGCTGTATTTCATTTATCTCATAAAGAGACAAGATGGCATCCTTCGTTATGTTGAATGTTGCAAGTTGGATCATAAAGTCTTCAAGGCAAATGCATAGGCTTTATGTCTGAAAAAGTGTCTAATTCTAGAAGAATTTGCAGGAAAATCAACACGGTAAATGTGTCATTTTTTGGATGAAGGTAAATGGTTTGTTCTGTCAGAACTGCTGGAAAATTGAAACTGGTTGCTGGGGCTCAAATGTAGCTCAGGAGATCTGGTTTCAGGTCTTAACAATTCCTTCCATACTTGATATGTTTCCTCTCATGTGACTTACTCTTCTCATCTTACCTTTTCACCACTGTTTATGTGACCTTTTATATTACTATTTTCTCTTCCTGTAAGAAGGCTATGTAAAAATGAACAATATTTACACTTCTTTTGCTTTCTTTCCATTCTCCCATCTCAGCAGAGCCCCAGGACCCCTTTCTCTGACCTCCCTGATGATGAGAAGATCTTTAACGGGGGAGATGGCATGTGGCAGAACCAGAGCCAGGATCAAGCCTTGCTCTCGGAAATCACAGAAGAGGATCTGGAGGTCATCCGTCAGCGGGAAGAGGCCATTCAGCAGATTGAGGTCAGTAACCTTCTCCCGTCATGGGCTTGTGAGGTGGAAATGCACATTCCTTGCTTTGTGCATTGCTCAACACGATGAAGGAAACGCTGATTTACATGGCTGCCTGTACACCATCACTAAACATGGGAGAGTTATCAGGTGCTTCTAAAAACGGAAATCAGTGGCAGGAGGAAGAATCAGAAATCCATATGACCTGTAATGAAAATGACAAGAATTAATTAAAGTTCAAGACCTAATGTTGGCTGGTTTGGGGGTTTTTTTCGGTGGGTTTTCCATAACAGAGTTTGCAGTGAGGTAGTTTAATTGAGCATGGTTCTTCAGCAAAACAACTTTCTCGGTGCATGCAAACTTGAAACTGGAATTTGTCACAGGCAGAAAATACTCAGCTTTACCATTAAAGAGAATAATAGGTAGATGAAAGGAAATAACTTGTTAACTGTTTCAAATAATTCAATATTTTTTGCTTTATCAAAGTATTTGCATGTTCTTGATGCCGTTAAGACGTATTATTTTTATTTCCTTTTTTAGAAGTGCTATAAATAAAATATGAACAAAGGTACAAAAAGAGGTTTGAATAAGTTAAACAGCCCACATTTTTCTTTTTATAATTCTCTTTTTATGCTTTTGGGAAACTCTTGTTACTCAAATTTAAGCAATAAATGAGTAAAACCAGACCATTTAAAATCTTTCTAATTTGTGTGATTTTACAGGCCTAAACTCAAGATGAACTGAAAAAAAATAGGGCTTCAGAATAATCAGAACATTTAATTAAGGACTGTACTTTGTCCTTTAATTGGATTGAGCTAATTTTATCAGAATAGATTTTGGTTGCGGTATAGCAGGAATTATGATTGAGTTAACAGTGCAAGAAGGGGACACGTTCCTGCTGTAGACTGGTGCTTTGAGGCTTTGACCTCTGTTTGCAAACAGTGATAGCTACATAGGATTCAACACTGTAAGTAAGAAATTTTGATAGCTTTACAAGAGTGGGTCGAGGTTAGTGCACGTCTAATTTCTGTTATGGTTTCCTGAATAGATGTGATAGAGCTTTGTGGACCTGAGTGCATTACTAGGGATGAAATTGTTAAAGAATATTCTCCCGCTGAGTATCCTTGGGTGTGAATTGTCCTTTCGTACTTGAGGAATCTCTTGCATCCACCAGGACAAACTCTAGGGAACTTTGTAGCAAGAAGACACATGTTTTGGGATGTTCCTGCACCTTAATGTTCAAGAAGGATGGATGCAAAAGTATTTCTGAAATGGTGTTGTGGACAAAAAGGGTATTGTTGTGATCCTTTTGTTTGAAACATAGTCACTGCCATTTTCTTTCCATCTTTATGTTGCCCCCTGTCCTCCCCAGAAAAAAACCCAAAACAACCCCACACATTTAGTGTTTGCGCATTAGGCAGTGGAATGTGACAAACTCTAAGCCAGCCTCAAGTGCACCAACTTCGGAAAATCAAGAGGTACAGTCGTGTCTCCTTAGAAAGATCCTTATTTTGCTGGTTAAATCCCATTTCTGTGCAACAAGCTGGTATCTCTGCATGGGACTGCACTGGACCATGATGGGGTATTTCAGGTGGGTTAAGTGAATCCAGTCCCAGCCCTACATAACTTCTAAATAAATGCAACACTCATGTATTGGGCAGGTCACGTATCTATAGATTTGGTAGATCCTGTATGCCTTTCTGCCTAACATGAATTTACCTCTGAATAACTTATTCAAGTTATGCAGTTAATAACTTATTCAATTTAAGCTGTTAATGTTGCTCAGCCTTCTGCTTCCTAATGTGTATGCTTTCTTTTTACCTGCTTTTTTCCCTATCTCCATCATAACTGCGTTCATTTTGCTCTGCTATCTAAGATCCATTTTCATCCTGTAAGGAGGACTGCATTCCACATACATTATTTCAAATGTAGTTTAAACATTTCTCCTCAGGAGGAAAACATTTAGGACCAATAGTATTTTATTTAACATCTCTTTTGAAAGAAATATAATGAAAATGAAATGGATTTTTGGACTGTCGTACCTTTCCCCAGCTGTATTTGAATAAGCAGATGGGGCTTTTAAATCATTTTCACTGGGTTTTGTTTTCCTGCTTGTTGACCCACACAAACATATTGCTTGTGAAAGGACTCATCTTGCACATTAAAACTTCCTTGATTTCATGAGAACTTGTGGGTATACAGAGAAGGGACTCACTGAGCTCAGTCACCCTTCCAACTTTGTTCCAAAGTTTTCAAAACCAGTAAGTAACCAAGAATATTAAAAGGAAAAATTACTCCTAACTGTCAAATGCAGCTAATAAACTAAATTTATTGCCAGATTGATGTATAGCATTTGTTCTCCTTTGCTCTTTGGGGACCAGAATGAAGAACAGAGCTGTGCCAAACATATCTTATGCAAGTAGATTGGTCTTGCTGGGATTTTTACTTTTCTGCATATCTAGCACCTGAAACACGCAGATCTTAAGTAGCACAGCAGAGGTCACAGATCATTGCTACATTATCATATCTTCTGGGCCGCACTGATTAGCACACAACTTTGGAGAAGCTCATGGTGCTGGTACCAGTAATGGGCCTTTTTTTGGAGACATTGAATTTACCCTTTTTGCAAGAACAGATATAAAACCTTTTTCATTGCTAAAGAAATGAGGAAATAAATTCTCTTCCCGTCTTGTGTCCTGAAAAACAGATATAAAATTGTGCCCATAATAGACATCTTCTTAATGTTCCAATGACTCTTTCCTATTTGTGTGTTTTCCACAACTCCAGAATCTCTTCAGAGGTTCAGGTTAATGGGACATTGTTCTCTGTCATGAACATCCCTTGAGGCACTGTTCAGCGTTCACAGTTTCCACCTAGAAAGATAACAGCCATGTCAAAAGTTCGGCTGGCTGTTCATTTTATTTAAATGTGCTTCTTTTGCTATTGCTTGCAGATTAAAAATAGAGAAGTCTTCAAGGGAGATGTCTCGCCAAAACCTTACATTTTGGATATAGATCTTTATTGCTTGGAAATGTCAAAATCTGGTAGGACACAGCAGCCTTGACACAAGTGTTATTTCTTAAAATATTGCTTTGAACTGTTATATAAAACCTATTTTAACTTGAACTGTATTGGCAGTGAATAATAGATGCCATAACAACTTTATATATAGCACTGTAAAATGTGCCATCAGAAATACATGAGCTGAACTGTAATGTGCATTGTCAGTGCTCAGTGCTGGCACAAGCTCTGTCATAGCAAATATATATAATTTAGTGTCCCGTGCCTTTCATTGGCACCTGTGGTCATGTGAAAAATGGAAGGAGGTTAAACTTTGAGAAGAAATGGATAACCACTGAATGGAGAACTTCAGAATTTCGTGTGGTAACTGGAAAGACCTATAAAAAAAAGATACTAAATGACATATCGATTCAGAAAGCCTCCAGTGATCCTCCCCATGCAAACAGCTTCACCAGAGCTGATGAGGAAGGAAGATGAGATGAACCCCTTCTAGACCCCACCATCTCCTTGGAGTCACCACCAGGTCACCCCACGTCCTCCACAACACTCTTTTCTTTCTTATAGCACACTCCCATCCCACTCCTGTGCTTCCTGGTCTGCTAACACAGCAGTGGACATTCTCCTACCATGAAGAGTGGGGAATTTTTAGCCTGGAGAAAAGGAGGCTGAGGGGAGACCTTATCGCCCTCTAGAACTACCTGAAAGGAGGCTGTAGCTACGTGGGGATCAGTCTCTTCTCCCCAGTAACAGGCAATAGGATGAGGGGAAATGGCCTCAAGTTGTGCCAGGGCAGGTTTAGGTTGGACATTAGGAAAAATTTCTTCACCGAAAAGGTTGTCAAGCACTGGGATGGGCTGCCCAGGGAAGGGGTCGAGTCCCCATCCCTGGAGGTATTTAAAAGCCGGGTAGACGAGGTGCTTAGGGACGTGGTTTAGTGGTGGGATGGCAGGGTTAGGGGAACAGTTGGACTTGATGTTCTGAAAGGTCTTTTCCAACCTAAACAATTCTATGATTCTATGAATAGCCAAGACAGAAGTATATGAGGGAAGGGGCAGATTTGGAAAGCAGGGCTTTTTCCTGGTATTGGGAACAGTTGTTCCTGAAATAGCAAGGTTCACTTCATCTATCTCGACTTCCCTACCCCCCTTTTTATCTCCGCCCCCACAGGAGGAGCAGCAGCAATAAGAGCTCAGTCCATGGAGGTAGGTAGCTGCCCATTTTGTCAGCTACCAAACCTGACACTACGAGGACTAACACATCACCTCTCAGCCCTGAAAACCAGCAGATGCCAGTCAGTTTATACAGATTATTGCAGTTACCAAATTACTTAGCAGTCAAGAAGAAAGCCATTCAGGTCAGATGAATACAGGGTAAGTCTAGCTGAAACACAGTTTAATGATTAAACACTAAGTGGACAGACATTGCAAACTGAAGACCATCAGTTGCAGATGCCTGTGCAGCCATGGAGAGTCCCCCAGTGCAAGGGTGCTAGGAGAGCATTTGGAGAAATTAGTTCAAGCATCAACTCTACCATCAACTCCTTATATGCCCTGGGTATTTATCATACTGATCTTAAGTTGCTTACCTGTAAAGCAAGGCTGAAAGCATCATCCTGTGTCTCACAGGGAATTGGGAGAGTAAGTAGTTTAGTGTGTTCCTTCCTCGTTTTGGTCAGTAGGCACAGTAAATAACAAGAAGGATCTGCCCTGCTCCCTGGGGTATTCCCACAGGTTTCCATTTCTTTCTTTCTGTATTTAACGCAGGCACTAACTTGGGTGATGTGAGAAGGTGGACAGTTTTCTCCAGTAATATATCATCATCAGAACATGAGAGCCAATGCTGTCTGGTGATGCCTTGCTAACTTTTGGCAAGTGAATATATGGTGAGAATACTTTCATCCAGTTTCTAATAATCAGTTGAGGATATCCTGAAGAAAGCAAACCACACCAACAGAGCTTCATTTTAGTCGATGCTTCTCTTGGCAAAGAGAG